TGCCAATTGGATTTAAATTAATGTCACTATTCTCTAATACCATTTGGGGTTACTTCTGCATACGTTAGTAATGCCTCTTCTATACTTGGCATGCATATGGATGTAACTGTATGAATGGTCATCTCTCCACTGTTTCTATACTGTTATAGTAGCAAAATATTGGGATCAGCTTAAATATCCTTCAGAAGAGAAATGACTAGTAAAGTATGATGTATTTGTATAAAATAAAATGAATATATGGCCATTAAAATCATGTTTTTAGTACAGTCATTTAATATCAGAAGATTTCTAAAATTTAATAAAAGAAAAGGGTAAAATACCATATTGCACATCTAGTTTGGGCTCAAGATTTTTTTAAGACATTATTCTTTTTTTTTTTTTTTTTTTTTTTGGTTTTTCGAGACAGAGTTTCTCTGTGTAGCTTTGCGCCTTTCCTGGGACTCACTTGGTAGCCCAGGCTGGCCTCGAACTCACAGAGATCCGCCTGGCTCTGCCTCCCGAGTGCTGGGATTAAAGGCGTGCGCCACCACCGCCCGGCAAGACATTATTCTTTAGAGGACAGCAGAGGCACATTACACTGTGGGAGGCACATTACACTAGTGGACATGGCCTTTTTTTTATCATATTTCAGTCTCAACCTGACCATCTCCTGTACAGCCCTGGGCATACACTTTATATGTTATTGACTACACACCAACAGATTGTGTACTGCAGAACTGAGACTATAGTCTGATTTATGTCCTCTTAGTTGTAGGCTATGTCTAATCTGTCTTTAGTCTTTGGTCATTTTACTTGACATTTACAGTAACAACAAAATTATTGATGTAGGTTTAGGTATAAGTCTAAAACTTAATGACATTTGTGTATTTCCTACAATATGTGTTGTTTACATAGTCACTAAATACATGATTATATTAGTGGATTCTAGAACAGTACCTACCACAGTGTGTTTAATCCATGTACTACAGTACTCAACAAGGTTTAGAGGTGAATGCCACATGTACTTTTGCTTAGAGAAGGCATGGAGCTTCTTGCTTTTAGAACAACAAGGACAGCTTTGACATTAGTTTGAATTGAGTAGTCTGATAGAAGGCACAGAACCATATTAAAGCCAAGACATGGGCTTTAAGTTCTCCTTTGGTGAAAGATTTGGAAGATTTCCTGAAGGCCATCTGCCTCCACAGCATGCATCTTTGTAAAGGCATACCCTTCTCTTCAACACCACTCTTTAAAGATCTCAATCTCCATAGTAGCATCAGAATCTCCTCACCTACACAAAGAATTTATTTCAAAAACTTGTCTCTCACAAATAAGGAGAATAAGCTTGGGTTTGCTTACCAATGAACTTGATTCTGAGTAGGTCTTTTTTTTTTTAATTAAGAAATTTTTTATTCATTTTACATACCAATCACAGATAACTCTCTTCCCTCCTCCCACCCCTCCAGCCTTCCCCCACTCACCCACCCTTCATTCCCTCCTACAGGAAGGTAAGACCTCCCATGGGGAGTCAGCAAAGCCTGATCTATTTGGTAGAGGCAGGTCAAAGCCCCTCCCCCTTGCCTCAAGGCTGCACAAGGTGCCCCACCATAGGTAGTGGGCTCCAAAAAGCCAGCTCATGAGCCAGGTATGGATCCTGATCCTACTTGGGGGGGGCATGCTCAACTATGTTCATAGCAGCATTATTCATAATAGCCAGAACCTGAAAATGCCACTCAACCAAAGAATGGATAAAGTAAATGTACATATACACAATGGAGTACTACTCAGCAGTTAAAAAAATAACATCATGAAATTTGCAGGCAAATGGATGGAACTAGAAAATATCATCCTGAGTGAGGTAACCCAGACTCAGAAGGACAAGCATGGTATGTACCCACTCATAAGTAGATACTAGAAGTAAAGCAAAGGATAACCAAATTACAACCCACAGCTCCAGAGAAGCTAGATAACAAGAAGGACCCAAAGAGGGACACATGGATCAACCTGGGAATGGGAAATAAGTGATATCTCAATGAGTAAACTGGGAATGAGGGGGGTCAATGGAGGGTAGGGGATGGAGGATGAGAACATAAGGGAATGGATGGTCGAGCTGGAACATGGACAGAGTGGGAACAATGAAAGAGAAAATCATGATAGAGGGATACATCATGGGAATAGGGAGAAACCAGGTGCTAGGGAAGTTCCCAGAAATCCACAAGGATGACCCCAGCTTAAACTGAGTAGGTCTTAACAAGCCCTCAAATCATATAGCACACCACCTATTTTCTCCACCTGTTTCCAAAAAGAACTGCCATCAATTTCATAATTACCCCAATTACTGTTACCTCTGACAGCAATAATATCTAACAGTTGTTCTTTTCTTATAAATGTGATGCTGACTTATGAGGTTCATTAGTATTGAATACCATAAATACAGAAGTTATGTTTCAAATAATCCATTCAGTGATACTTCAATCTCTTATTCAAAGATGAAGTCACTGTTGAGCATGAAAAATTGTCATTCTTAGATTATTAGCCATTATAATGTGAAGACAGATGGAAAATCTATGTATGCATATGAAAATACAGAAGTGTGTGTGTGTGTGTGTGTGTGTGTGAGAGAGAGAGAGAGAGAGAGAGAGAGTGTGTGTGTGTGTGTGTGTGTGTGTGTGTGTGTGTGTGCTTTATGAGATCCATTTAATTCCACTTATGGCTTGATCCATAGAACTTTATGGTACAAATATATGTTTTATGACAAAATTAGTTTTAACATAAATATAAAGAACTGGAAATTAATTTTTAAAAATTCAGGTCAGCAATTGTTGCCATTGTTTTTAATGGTTTTTTCTTCATAAACAAGATTGTAGGTTGACATTTCAAAAATATAAGTTGTGACCTTTACAGAATTGCTTCTTCATGCAATTATCTTATTAAGTTGGGAATCTGTTAGGCTCCTAAAGGGGAGAGATCAAAGGGATAAAAAAGGAAAAATCTAAGATAGTCCTCTTTCCTATCTGCTATAAAGCCAGGTTTGGGTCCTGAACCAATGCTTATGCCACTTCCTAAAAGCTTTAGTGTCCTTTAGTCAGTTTGCTTTGGCTCAAAAGCATTTTCTCACACCAAATGCCCCCAGTAAATTGCAAGTTGATGTGAACCCTCACATCCTATCGTATCATTTAATACTGTGAGGCTGGACTTTGGGAGGTGATCCACTAGGTATGGTTGTTATAGGGTGCCAGAGGCATTCCTGGAGGGGAGCATGAATACCTGTTGACTGCAGCTTGTAGGATCCCCAATGCACCAGCCTCTTTCACAGAGCTGGCACAACCCTGTGGGAATGCTGTCATCATTCTTGTTTCTGAGAACAACACTGAAGTTTTAATGCTCGCAATGCAACGGGAACCATTGGATTGTAGCTGAAGTTTTAAGTGTCTTCTAAGAAGTCCCAAACTAATCTGTATGCAAACCTGTGCCATCTAAGTAATAAGCCCTTTATCCAGAAATGTTATCTTCACATTTTTAGCTGAATTGTGATCCATATCACAAATTAAATAATGGATTTTTTAATGGTATCTTCAAAAGGATACCCAAATAATCCATCACTCAGATGTATCTCCAAGTACAGAAAGCCTCTTGCTTTCTCACCTTTCTGCAATATGATTACATTCTGAAGCATTGAGTATGCTTTAAGCTTCTGACTAGTTTGCTCAGTGCACTCACAAGGTGGTGATAATGAGGCCAAGGTCATGGGTGCAAGAAAGTTTTGCTGTGTATTGACCACAGACTACCGGGAATCAGTCAAGAGATGATAGCACAACCCAGAAAGACATCATGACAAAACCTCAGCACTTCTCAGTCCAGCCTCCCCATGGAGAGACAGGATATGCTAGTGGGCCATCATCATCTTAGGGAGGAAATGAATAGCAGCTTGGGAGGCTCCAACATCTACTTCTGAACAAAGCAGGCCTGACATTTAGGCATTAACTTTGCATTATAATCTCCCATCATACCATTGATTTGCTGTGTAACCTTCATCACTAAAACAGAGATAATAGCATGGAATGAAATGGGCTTACCTCCCGGGGATGTTGTGTGAATTAGCAAATTAACTAGTGTAAAGTGTTAGCATTTATGTAAGTGCTGGTGGTTGTCATTATTTCTAGGGACTGAGTCTCATTCTAAATAGAGAATCTAAGTATATTATGCTTTTGCCAGGAAGAGATTTTCACCCACATCAATTGCATTTAAGCTGAGCATAAAACAGAGGTGATAATAATATAGTAGTGATCATCACAATGCAGAGCTGTGAGCCTTTTCCCTATTAAAGCTAAAACTATTTTCAGCAACTTTCAATGCTTTTAAACTTTGCTTTCCAAGCTTTGTGCCAACAGTCATCTCTACAGTGATTATTCTTCCTGTGATGGGTAGGGGGAATGGGACCAAGAATAGTTCCCATTCATTATTCATTCCCATAATGACTATATAATGTATTGAATTTGTTTACATCATACAATCAGGCAAACTCAGTAGCTGCTTTGATTGCCATATATTGCAATCATTGTTAAAAATAAAAAAACTCTCCCCCCCCCCACTCTGCAAACACTGATGTCCTCTAGAGGTAGCCAGCATGCAAATAGAAAACTCATGGGGGATTGAAGAGATTTAAAAAAAAAAAAGCTACTGTACATAGATCTTTTCAATTTAACATCTTTACCAGGGAATTTTGTTGTCACCTGCTTATTTCCAAGGGGGGCGATCTGTGCTTGGGAGAATTCTTCCATTTCTTTTATCACTTTGCCTCTGCTTACCAAGAAAAATCATTTCTTGCTGATTGCAGAACTCTTGAACTCAGCCTAGCAGCTGCAGTGTAAACGCCTCAGATCCGGGCTCTTTGCAGCTTATTTCCATATTCATTTGAAGTGATTTTTCAAGACTGTTTGAAAACCTCTCTCGACCTGACACTGTGAAATAGTCCGGATCTAAAGCTCACCGTGTGTTCCCTTCTTCTCTTTGTCCTACAGATAGCAGACAGGCCCCTCTGGAAAGATCACGCTCTCGCCACAATGGAGCCATGTCATCCAAGTGATTCCTGATGCCAGAGAGAGTGGAGACATTTAAGAAAACAAAATCATCCATCTTGAGAAGAACAAAATATACACTCAAGGGTTTGAGTGGAAATAAATGCATTTCCACAAAGGTCAAGCTGAGCTGGGTGAAGTAATGTGTATTTGTAGGAGTACTGCAAGTACGCTAATTCGAACCCAGCTGTCATGATTAGAAAACACTTGTTCCTCTGTAGTGTAAAGATGCACATTACTTGTCATTGTGTGTATATATGGTGACCTGACTGTGAAAATGAAAGTATTAAAAAAAAATAGAAGAATCCTAAGGCTTCTACAAACATTCCAGTCTGTCAAAGAATTTAAAACTGAAATTTCTAGGTCATGCCTACCTACCCCACCCCACCCCACTGCCCCCCTCAAAAATAAATAAATAAAAATAAAAAGGGAGAAAGGGGACTGGAAAGGAAGAATTTACAGTGTCTACTTCTAGCTCCTCTGATGTACATAGTGTAAAGTCTGAGAGAATGGGTGCATCAGTGATTGGGCACACTCTGAAAGAGAAGCCCCAGTCAAGGTATTTAGAACCAATCTCAAATGAAAGCTGATGGATTCATCTATTTGGCAGAAATTAGTTTTACCATTAATCTAGTATTTAAGCGTGATATCACAGGCACTTATCATTACTAAAAATAAACCAAAGTTTAACAGAATCAGCTAGATTTCAACTTTAAGAAGTATTTTCTAATTCTGCATAGATATCTGCCTTATAGAAATTCTTTATATAGCAATTTTTGAGAAAACCTCTACACATTCATGCATATGCTAGGGATGAGCCTGAAAATTCTATTGCCTTTATTGAGATTTGAGAGGTAAATATTGATTTCTGGTTCTTCACTCTAGTGCTTCTTTCTCCCTTCCCCCTGAGAGGTAGGGAATAGAACTGCAGAAGAGTCCAGAGGGAGGAAGTGATCTCTTTATGCAGGAGGCAGTGAAAAAGTTCGGAAAGGTCAATTGTTTTATCTCCCTTTCTGCCCCTTCTCCCATTCTACTTTGGTAGCTGAAGTAAAAGCAAATCTGTGCATGCACACGCATGTGTGTGTGTGTGTGTGTGTGTGTGTGTGTGTGTGTGTGTTTATATCTCTTACTGAAGTAATTCCATACCCCAGTCACAAAGTAAACCTCTGTCATCACCATACTTACTTACCTTATATTATTAACACATTTCAGTGATGCTGCCAAAACAACACTAGCAGATAAAGAAACTCAGCATTGTTTTAAATATGTGAGAGAACAGAAGTTATACTTAACTTGTCTATTCTCTTACAATGTGCACTTGTAATAATTGGTGTTACTTCTCTGGAGTGTAATTTCAAGACTAATCCATGCAGATGATTGTGATTGCTGTAAAAGGTTGCTTATATGTATATTTCTTCTGTAGAAAATTCTATTTCTATTTCTCAAAGCACATTATAGACATTCGGAGAAAAGAACAAATGACTGCCTTGGCAAGCAACCTTCTGAGATAATGTAAACAAGTGACCAGTAGCTCACAGAATCTTTATACAGATTTATGGGAATTGAAAATGTTGCCTTTCACTCTAGTGCATTTTTACTTGGGTATTATACTTCAAAATACTCTAAAGCTGCTATAAGTAGAGAAAGCAGAAGGTAATAATGTCTAAGTTTTTTCCATTTTTTCTTTAGTGAAAGTACACACATACACACTTAAGAACATACCACTGCCGGGTGATGGTGATACACACCTTTAATCCCAGCACTCGGGAGGCAGAGGCAGGCAGATCCCTGTGAGTTCGAGGCCAGCCTGGTCTACAGAGCAAGATCCAAGATCCAGGACAGGCACCAAAACTACACAGAGAAACCCTGTCTCGAAAAACAAAAAACAAAAAAAAAAAAAAAAACACAAAAAAGAACATACCACTTTCACACACTTTTTTAAACAATAACCACAAAATTTAATTTCTACTAATTGATGTAAATAACTACTGTATGCATTTTTGACTTTACAAAGTATTTTCTGAAATATTGTGGTATGGCTTAGTTGAGGTTTTGTGTTTTGGTTTTGTTTTTATAGTTTTTCAGGCTGTAGAAAATTGATCTTGAAATGTAAACTTTGACTGAAATTTAGGGCATTTGCCCTGCCATAATATCTTACTGGTCAAGGTTGAAATACTGATGTGTATCACCTTTTCCAGATGTGAACTTGCCTTATTTTCTAGTTTGTAAACAAGAATGAATGAAGTACTATTATTGATAAATTATATATTTGTATTTAAATGCATTCCACATGCTTTTCACAAATGTTAGAGAGCCTTTCAGGGGATACATAATTAGCTTATGTGACTTAAAATAATACTGTTCCAGCCACTTGCACTTTTCGTTTTAGGTTGAAAGGTATCCCCCCAAAAAAGTACATAGTACCATTTTTAAAATAAAACCAAATTAGGCTGAGTATTTTATTTATTTTTGTTTATTTCTGCCACAGATGAGAAATACCATTTCTACAACTTTTTCTCTAGAACATTACAGAAACAAGTTAGCCGGTTAGAATATTTTTTTTTTTTTTTACTGTAATGCTTGACCATAAATCTGATGGTTTAAGACCATAGCAATGTATTCTACCATGGTCCTGGAGGCTAGAAGCTTGACATCTGAGCATCAGACCATTTATGCTACCTCCAGAGGCTACAGCAGAGGCCCCTTCTTTGCCTTGTTCATCTTCAGATGGCCAAAGGCATTGTGTGGCTTATAGCCACGTTTTTCTCTGTTCCTCTTCACATCACCTTCTTCTCTGTGTACCTGGTATCTCTCTGCCTCTCTTGTAAGCATGCTGATGGTGGCATTTAGAGACCACCATGTTAAAACTCCATGATAGCTATGTGATAGCTATATGACTCTTCTTCCAAACATGCTAACATCCTCATCCCACCTCTTTGTCGACTGACCCTCAAAATGTATGTTTGCCCCATAAGTAAAATACATTCACCCCATCCCAACATTCCCCAGACTCAAACCATTATAGTAACCCCTAAATCCAAAATTTTAATCCACGTCATTAGTTTCAAATCCAATAATCTAGATCATCTAATGAAGTATGAATGATATTTATGATATGTTCAATCCAGAAACAATATCCTTTCTCTACCTGGGACTCAGTGAGAAAACAAAAAAAAAAAAGAGTTATTTTCTTCTAAAATATTACTGAGGCCTGGACTAATAACAAAGGGAAAGAACAGAAAGTAGAAAGGAGTCACCTGCCCCAACTGTTTGCAAAAGAACCAGCCAAACAGGTTATCCATAGGCGTGAAGGCATAGCAATGGCTGTCTGTCTCAGACCCTTTGGAACTGCAGCTCCTTTCTCTTGGATATGGGACTTGACCTCCACTCCAGGGCTCAGGTCTCTGCCTTTGTACCCACAGTTGGTTTTGCTATTGGGGTGCTCCTTTTTCTAATCTGAAAGTTACCAAATTTTTGCCAATGAGTAATTTTATTAACTTGTTTTCTGCCCATAGTGATCTATCTGGCAGCTGTCTCTCATTTCCTCCTCTCTGTTCCCTTCAAGCCAAGCCAGAAATATTATGATAATTACTGTATTCTCAGAAAAAAACATGGGACTTCCGTGTATGTCATGTGAAGGGGGACATCACAGTTCTTTCCTAGGTAGCTTCACCTGTGTGTGGCTTTCTCCGAACTAGTTGAATGAATCCAGGAGTGTGTGCCTGATCTATTCAGTGCTATCCTTTAAAAGCTGGCAGGCCACATCCTTCACCTTAGCTCCAAAGCACATCTTCATTCTAGCATCTTTAAGATTAACAAAATTTGCCAAGTCAAGTGCTGTTTCCTTATTGAAATAATGGCTCTTGTTCTTCAATTTGCCTCTTCTTTTTTTCCTTAACTTTTTCATTTCCTCCTATTTAGCTCTTTTTTTTTAATTAATACAAAAAGTAATGAGTTTCATCATGACATTTTCATTTGTATTTTGTTTTTCTGTTGCCCCTTCTCCCCACCTTCTATCCTCCTACCCTCACTTCCACCACTACCCCTGTTACCATCTCATCAATAACTCCTTTTCCCTTTCATGTCTTATAGGTTATCCTCTTCTCTCCTCCCTACTCACTTACGACTTCTGCCCCACCCCCAGCAAGAAGGAAGCAGCTAATACCTACAATACTTGGCTTGCCAAGCTCCTCAGCTAATAACCCAGCTTTATCACTTGCAAGATCAAGATTGGCTTTCCATAAAACTGTAGGAGACAATTCAAATAAGTTGTTGTTTTGGTTGTTTTCTTTTTTGCTGCTATATAACAACAGCTGCCTTTCTTCTGATTCCCAGTACAATATTCATTTCCTTTTGTGTCCTCACCAAAAATGCCTTTAACATCTACATTCCCATCAGTGGTTTGGCTCAGTCAATCTATAGTTTCTCTATTAAGTTTGTCATCAAAAATTGTTCCACCTTCCATTCATTATCCAATTCCAAAGCAACTTTACATCTTAGGTATTTGTCACAGCAATACCCCATGTCATACTAAAATTTCTGTTAGAGTCCTATGGTTACTGTAACAGATTCCCACAAACACAGTGGTATAAAAGAGTAGATTTCTGGTTCTGTTGTGTTTTTAAGGCCACAAATCCAAAACCAAGATATTGGCAGAACAGCACTACTCTGCACGATCTAGTAGAAAATCCACTCCTTGCCTCTTTTCATGTAATTTTTGTTACTCCATCTCTCTCTGCTCTGCCTTTTTGACATCTTCTCCTCTGTATATATAATCTACCTCTGCCTCTCTCTTGTAAAGATAGTTTTGATGAACCGTCCAGATTATCTATGATAATGTCCTTATTTTCAGAGCCTAAATTTAGTTACACCTCCCCATACCTGCTTAACCAAATACAGTAATATCCCAAATTCTGGTGATTAGCACATGAACAAACGTCTCTTTTTTTTGGGGGGGGGCATAATTCAACCACTACAGTAGTCATTGCATATAAACGTACTTTACACTTTTTAAAATGTATCCTTGGTGCTCAAGCCAGATTTAAGGTTGTCATTAAAAGCTACTGTCTGCACAAGCTACTGCATGCTTTGTTATTAAATTGACAAAAGGCTATTCTAAATTTTGGTTGATACTTCTGCCACTGTAACCAATTAGTTGAAAAAAATTCACAGATCTCAACTCTGCTCGAGTGTATCTCTTCTGCCCTTTTTATGGAGTCTTTGTTCAGATGTCTTCTATGATGCATAATGCAGGCACAAAACTACCTCTGATACAGAAGGGTTTTTACAAGCTTCCTTTAGATATTGTGAATCCCTCTGCTGAAGGGAGAGGTGAAAGCAAAGACTGTGTTAAATGGGTATTGAGGGAGATTGTGTCCATAGCAAGCCACCTTAAAGAAATAGTTCAAGTAACAGTGAAATTGTCAATTTGTGCTCTCATTTCGCCTCGGAATAAACACCTGTATCTGTGCTGGACCAATAATGACTTGCAATCTCTATATAATGCCAACTAATTCAATAAAGCTTAGATTTGCATTGAATGTTGTACTGACTATGATTCAGACTAAATATGAATGAAAAGGCATGGATAGTGAAGTGTCAAGAGGATGTGAAGACATTCTTAAACAGAGCTTCAAGAGTGTTTTTGGAAGAGCCAGGTCAAGTAGACATCTCGTGAACTGTCTTCAAAGACTTACATAGTTAAGATAAGGTTTTTCTTAGCATTCATGCACTCTGTTCATCAGAATAGTAGAGAAATGTTTATACAACTAAAAAGTAAGAAGGGCAATTTACATGTTCCACACAAACTGTTTCTGCAGAGATATTTGTGCATCATGTATAGTGCTAAAGCAAAAGGGCTTCGGATGCTCAGAGGGGCAATGAAGAATGGCAGGTTTTTATTCTCTGGAGAGCTTTCAAAAGAATCCCTCCTTGTGGGTGGTCTGTCTTCCAGATAAAGTACTGGACAATGTAATAAGCAGATCTATAAATGATAGAATCCCAGTTCTGACCTACCCATTGTGTCCTTTGGAATAGTTTGCTCCCCCAAGACCCAAATAAGGAGTCAAAAACCAGAGTATCCATAACAGGGGAATTTGAGCTTAAGGCCAGGAGTTGAAAAACAAATGGAAAGCTGGAAATTGATGAATATACCACACATGTAATGTGCTATATACTTTTGATTTATACCAAGAGAATGCGATAGCCAAAGATTCCATTTACACAGAGAATTGATTGAGATGTTTAGGATGCTGATAGACACAAGTAAAATATAGTTAGTATCCACTGGAGAAAAAAACTTGCAAATACATGAATTATACAAACCATGACTTGGTGCCAACTTCTTGGAGATTAGACAGAGTTTAGTCTTTAGCCATGATGACCTTATATCTTGGCTAATAGAGGTGCAGATAATATTTTCACCTGTACCTTGGTAAATTGAGGTCCAGTCAAAAATTTCACTTTTTTATGTTTATGTGCACAGCATACAAGCTATTTACTTATTAGATAAAATAATACTTAAATAAATTACTTAACCCATCAAAGTTTGCATTTTGCTAATGCTTCTTGAGTCTCTACAACTGGTATGGCTCTTCTAGTCAGTGTGTACCCACTCAAGGAAGCCACCTTTTGAGGACAGAGTTATGAGTTGAATATAGCTCATGCTTTCATGATCCCAGTCTGAGGGGGGAGAAACATAAACATAATTGGAGCAACAGGATACTTGTTGGGGCTGGAACATGGCCTCCTCATTCAATTATGTCTTTATCAGCTTTCTGTTTTTGATGGTTTCCTTCACTGCCTAAGCTTAGCTATCTTGGAACTCACTCTATAGACCAGGCTGGCCTCAAACACAGAGATCCACCAGCCTCTGCCTCCTAAGTGCTAGGATTAAAGTCATGCACCAGCATGCCTGGACCTAAACTGTTTTTAATTCCTTTTCACAAATTGGAAGCTTAGCTGGGTGGGGTCCTACCCTGAAGTCACCATTCCCTTTATTCCATTTCTTATTCCGTTTATCTCCTTGAACATAGGATTTAGATCCATTCCACTTCCTAGTGCCCCTTTTCTCTTTAATCTGTACATTTTGTATTTTTCTTTGCTCAGCTTGCTCCTCTTCATTATAGATATTTGTAAGCATGAACACTAGTAACCACATGACAGAGTCTACACTAGGGTGTTTTGAGATTTCCTTTGCCAATGCAATCCAAAACCTTCACTTTAACCTCAGGCAGACTTTTTGGACAAGGGCAAAAAATAAACTCATTCTTCACCAAAATATCACAAGAATGATCTCTTATTATGATCAACCCATGTGACTCTATTAAATGGATAACAGAATTTATTAAGATATAAATTGAGGAAATACATTCATGATTACAGAATGGAGCAGACAGTGGAAGTCTGATCTGCCCAGGAGCAAATCCACCTCACAGGCAGGAGCAGGGAGAAGGGTCATGTTACCCTTGTCCAACTCCTTATAAGAGGTCATGTACAACAGCAGGAAGAACTATCTCCTTTGGGCTGTATACCTCAAGGTCATGGACAGAGCAAATACCACTACACTCCCTAGGCAACATACTAAAATTCTCCTTTGAACCCTCTTGAACGAGGAAGCCACAGTTCAAATCACCCTTAGTATAACTGTCTTCCATGTTCTTACTAGTATGACCCATTAAGCCCCACTTAAAGTGTTTAACTGCTTTTCTAATCCAAATTCCCCATATCCACATTCCTCCAAGCAAAAGCATCATCAGATCTATCACAATAATACCCCAATCCCTGGTACCAACTTCTGTCATAGTTAGGGTTTCTATTGTTGTGAAGAGACACCATTACCACAGCAATTTTTATAAAAGAAAACATTTAATTGGGGCTGGCTTATAGTTTCAGAGGTTAGTCTATTATTGTCATGGAAAAAAGCATGACCAAATGCAGGCAGATATGGTACTGGAGAACGAGGTGAGAGTTCTGCATCTTAATCCACAGGCAACAGAAAGTGAACTGTCACACTGGACATGAACATATATGAGACCTCAAAATTCACCCCACCGTGACACACGTCCTCCAACAGAGCCACACCTCCTAATACTGCCACTCCCTTTGGATCAAGCATTCATACACATCTATGGGGGCTACCATATATTTAAACCAGCACACATGCATACATAGTTAAATCATTTAAAAATTTGTACAAAGAAAGGATATGAAATATAAAGGAAGATGATTCTAGAAATTCTGTGTATTAGCAGATTGGGGTTTTAGCTCAGTGATAGAGTGATTGTTTAGCTTGCATGAAGCCTTAGTCAATCCTTAGTGTTGCTAAAATAGAATTAGAGAGAAGGAAAGGGGCCACAGAACACAAACCTTGTTGGAAGATATTGCAGTAATACTATTGAGAAGTGAAGACGCATGTTGTTGATTCAAGTGACCACAAACAAATTGGTTATTAGTGGGTCATTGAGATCATGATGAAGGAGAGCAACCAACAGTTTCAGAGCTGAGTGATGACTAATGTGCTACATTCAACAGTGGTATTTTGAATGTGCACAGCTGCAGTTCTGAGACATGGTACAATCCTATTGTCCTAGTTTGCTTTGTATTACTGTGATAAACACCATGACTTTGGTGGTCTTAATGAGAATGGCCTCCATAGGCTCATATGTCTGAATACTTGGTCCCCAGTTAGTGGAACTGTTTGGGAAGAATTAGGAAGTGTGGCCTTGTTGGAGGAAGAATGTTACTAGAGATTAGCTTTGAAGTTTCAAAAGCCCGCACCAGACCTAGTCTCACTCTCTTTGCCTGCTGCCTGTGGATCAGGATGTAAGCCCTCAACTACTGCTACAGCACCATGCATGCATGCATGCCACCAAACTTCCCATCATGATGATCATGGACTAACCCTATAAAACTATAAGCAAGCCCCAAATTAAATGCTTCCTGGTCATGTTGTTTCATCACAGCAATAGGACAGTAACTAAGACAATGACTAAAAGCAACTTTGTGAAAAAGTAGTTTGTTTGGTGTGCAAGTCCATGTCAGTCCTTCACTGAGAGAAACAAAAGCAGAAACTCAAACAGGACAGGAACCTGGAGGCAGGAACTGAAGCAGAGACCGTGGAGGAATGCTGCTTACTGTCTTGCTCTTTGTGGCTCTCTCAACTTACTTTCTTATAGCATACAGAGTCACTTGCCTCTCCCACATCAATCATTAATTAGGAAAACGCTCCTACAGACTTAGCTACATGCTAGTCTGATGGAGGTATTTTCTCAATTGAGTTACCATCTTCCCAGGTGACTCTAGCTTATGTCAAATTGATAATGATAATAATAATAATAATAATAATAATAATAATAATAATAATAATAATAATAAACAACTAACCAGCACAGGTCTTATCTGTAGTGTTGAGTTCTCATGTAAACCTGATTAGTGTGTATCATGAGTTCAGGAAGAGAGAAAGCAGACAAAAGGATGGGATTTCTATACAACTTACACAGGAATCTGGTGTTTGTGGAAAGAAAGAAAGCTAACTTCTTCAGGTTGCTTTCCTTTCTTTTTCTGCCCATATTTCCCCCCAACCCCCACTTTTTAATAATACTGAAAACCAAACCATGGAACAGCTCTTCAAAGAAGTAAGAAACCAACAAAGACTGAGATGACATTAAGATTTCCTGCATCACTTTTGGTCTCACACTAACAGGAAAGGAAGACATTTAGATGAAGTATAATTTATGGGAAAGACTTTAATTAGTTCAGAGTTAGAGCTTCTTAAGTGTCTGCTTAATATTTCAAACTGTACATTTAAGAGCTTCTTAAGCAATTACTACTCTCTCCAGGAGCAGCAAGCAGACAGAATGGTTCATGCCTATAATCTCAGCATTTTGGGTAGTAAGGCAGGGGGATTACCCCAAGTTCAAGATCAGTCAGAGCTACAAAATAAGGCCCTGTCTGAAAAAATAAATGAAAAATGAAGTAAAAATAAAGAAAAAGAAAAGCTTCCTATTTCAGTATTTTTCTAGAATCTCAGACTTCCAATGTGTTTTTATGCTAAATGCCTTTTCTTTTGAGAACTATGGGGCTTATCTCTCTGAATAGCTTTAAGCTAAAACTATTTTATTTGTTAACGGGAACAAGTTTTTTTTCAATCTTCTCTACCTTTCTTTCCCTCCAATATTTCATGTTCATTTTCTTACTAAATCACAAATACCATAATGAAACTTAAATTGAAAATACTTAAATAAAATAAGTTCTTGTTCTATATAGTCTTTGGCAATCTATGGCATAGAATAGCACAGTAGCTTGAAGTTTTTGACAAAAATCAAGTAATGAAGTGTTTTACCTGGCTGAACAACTGGTGGTCCTTAGGGAGAAAAGAGAGGGGAAATGAAAGAGGTCATGTACTAAGTGCCCCTAGTAGAATTCAGTATAGTGATGAAAATGAAAGTGTCTTACAGATGTCAGCGACTTTTTGACTCCGCAGCATCTGTGATAAAAAGCTGACTTGCTGTGACCTTATATTGTGCGGCACTTTGTACTT